AACCAAGACTCAAGATCAAGTTTCAGAAGACTCATAGATAGGAACTTGTAACTCGTAGCTGATAGGCTTAGTTAGTCTTTTTCATTTTTGATTTTGATGTAATAACGGGACCGCGGACCGGAACCTCGATGGCACCTCGCTCGGCTCTCAACCTCGGTACTCCATCATCTCATTCATTTCTGAACTACACGTGGCCTGATTCCTTTATAGCCAAGGATATGTAGGCAGCTCAGATACCAGGGCCCGGTCACATTCTCCCTCCTCTTAGTTTTTGCTCTCCTTAAATAAGGGTCGGGTCAAAAAATCTGTCTAGTAATTCTTTGTCTGAAAACTCTTCGCGTTTCCAGTCAAATAGGGGCAGCTGTTGACATGTGATTTTTGACCCTCCACGAAATTTTACCCATTTTAGCATGTAAATATTTAGTTTAGGCCTAATATTGCCATTTCAACTAATTTTTACTATTTTACTTTATTTTATTACAAGAAAATGAAAAATTACAAAAAAATAGGTTTATTATTATTTTATAGTCATTTTTAATCTTAAAAAAAAATTACCAAAATAGTACCCTATCTTTATTTTTATAATCTTGAAAACACAAAAAAAAAAGTAGTTTTATGTTTTATAGTTAGTTCAATTAATTAAAATTAGTCTTATATTTTTATATTATAATTGTACATAATTTTAGAAGAAAGAATTAGTTTTAGGTTGGTTTATCCCATTTTTATAAATCTTATAGTCCATTTTTTAATCTTGGCCCAAAATCCCTAGCTCATAGTTCCTAGGCCCATACCCCTAACCTAATCCCTACCCTATATAATACTATCTACACCACAAACACACCATATGCACATACAAAAAGTAACGCCTATACTCTGAGGAGACTCTAATGAAGAGCGCCGCAATTCTGAAAATCAGGGATCCCCACCCCTTTTGACTTGGTCTTCCTCACATAGTCACATAAGAGCTATCCACCGTTGGTCCTCTGAAAAGATCAAAGAAAAAGCCAAAAATACAAAAGACCTAAAACCAGTCACAAAAATAGACGCTGACGAGGTCGGTTGCAGCGACATTCCGTTCCGATCGAGTCGAGTTCGCCGCCGGTTCCGTTTGTCACGAGTTCTCGAGCTTGTACATCTCATTTGTGATTTCATTCCAGTTCAATTAAATAAAAGATTGTTGGCTTTTTGATGGAGTTTTTTTTTTTTTTTCACGTGTTGTTGATTGTTGTCGATTTTGCTGTTGATTCAACTGTTGAGTGATTACTGGGGTATTAAACCAAATTTCATGTATATGAAGTTGCAATTTAAAATTTGCTCAAGCTGTCTTTATAAATCTTGGAAGAATTGAATGGGGAAGAAGAGCTATGTGATTTCCTTTTTGCTGGGTTTGTGAGAAGTCGTATGTTCAAGCTGTCGTAATTCCAGATTGAAGCTGCTTTTGCGTAGAAACGTCTGTGCCTCACCTTCGAAACCAAGTTGGACTCGGAAAACAATACAAAAAAAAAAAAAAAAAGCCGCAAACACACATGAAGGGACGACAGTCTCATTAAAAACGAAAGAGAAGACCAGCCTCAAAAGAAAATTAATCCAGCTTCGGTAAGCTTTCTATCCAGCTTTCAATATGTGTAGGTGTAAATTAAGCTTTATATTTGATATGTACATGTTATTGGTTGGAATAATCTGAATCGAAAGGAGTGCTAATGTTTGTTTTATCAATGATGTTTTTTGTGTTTCCATCTTCAAATGAAGTAGCCTCAGCTATCTCTTTGTGTGTGTGATGTTAAATCTTAGAAATATTGCATTGGATTGAAGCCATCAAGTTTTTCTTAAAAGGAGTGGATCGTTTCCTGTTCATTAGTCGTAGCATTTTTAATTCAAGGTTAAAGGGTTGCATGACTAGTTATAAGAATTAATTGTAGCTTTTTGTCTTTATCTTTGAATGGTAATTTGCACATAAGTTAAAACTTGTATAAAAATCAGATTTTAGCCATTATAATAATTTAAGCGATCGTGCTAGAACCACGGGATCCGGGGGTGCCTAACACCTTCCCTCGGGTCAACAGAATTCCGTATTCAGAATTTCTGGTTCGCAGACTCCAATTGGGAAGTCGAATTTTTTCTCGATTTGGGATTCAAATTAAATCGGTGACTTGGGACACCAAAAGCCAATTCTTTCCCAAGTGGCGACTCTAAAAACAAATAAATAATCCCATTTCGAATAATGTCACTTTAAATGGAAAAACTCCCTTATACATTTATCCTTCGAGGTAGGTGTGTAAAAAAGGAGGTGTGACACTAACAACAGTATTTAAAAATAATGTTCAAATTTTCAACATGAGCACTGTTAGGAAAATATTACAGTAATAGCATGCATTATTCCCTTTCTTTCTATTTAGCACCAAACAAAGGCACTGCTAAGTTTTCCCACTGAGGATTTAATACCCTTATTAACAATTGAATCACAGAACAGAGAGAGAAAACTATGCAGATCCGCCACCATTAAACAAAGGTTCAACCCATTCTCAACAAAAAAAATGTAATTAAACTTGTACGGTTGCATAAACCAGCACGGCATTCTTACCAAGAAAATAGGGACCGAATTAATCAAAAAAAAAAAGGCATCATGCTTCATGAAAATAACACAGAAATCAGAAATCGAGCAAATCCTCGAAGCTAAGCATGAACTCAACCGTTTTATTTGTTTAGTGTAAGCACAAGACAGAAAAATTTCAGAACTAACCTGATCGACTAGAGAACAAGCTAGAATAGGCCAGATAACGACATAAACTAACTCGAACGGAGGTCAACGGAAGTAGAAACAGCGAAACACAACTTCAGCTTCTAAATTTTGAACCAAACTCGAACACTCAGAAATGGCAGAGGTGATGCAACAGTAGAGAAGAGCAATAGCGAAGGCTGCCAAAAAAAGGCTCGCCGGCGACCTCGGGTAACAGAGCTTCGACACGATTAATGGGGACGCTTCGGAGCTGCTTCAATGGCATTTTTCAGAGGTATTTCGGCTGGTTTTTGAGCTGGTTTTAGTGAGTTTCTGCATGGTATCTCGAAGGTATTTCAGTGGAGATTTAGGATATGGTTTTTGGTGAAGAGAAGTCCAATCTTTCTCTTGGGAGTGGTCTCGGCGTCTTCTAGCCTTTTGGAGCGAGAGACAGGCGTTGTTGTTGGTCTTCCAGAGAGAAAGGAGTGTTCTCTTCTTTTTTTTTTGGGTCCCCTTTCAGATCTCCCTTTTTGTGTGTATATATGGTGGGTAGGGTCACGTGGGGGAAGGTTTTATGTGGGGAATATTTTTTGGGGAAGGTCTCATGTGGGGGAAGGTCTTTAGGCGGGAAGGTCTCATGTGGGGGAAGGTCTTATTTTAGGCTAGTTGGTGGGTTTTGGATAAATTTTAGGTGTAAGAACAACCCAATTTGAATTAAAAACCCACCTTCAAATTCTCTTCTTATTTTCCCTCTTTTTTTTTTTAATTAAAAATTCTAGAAATTAAATCCTCGATTATCTAAAAATTTGAAATTGAACTAATTAACTAATTACAAAACTATAAAAGCTATTTAATCCTAAATCAAAAGAGAAAAATCAATAACCTAAAAATAAAAGGCAAAAGTGTAAAAATGAAGTATTTTTGTGATTTTCTATTATTATAAAACCAATAACTTCCGATTAGTCCTAAAAATGTAAAAATAAATTCTAAATGCCACGCATGATATTTTTGATTTTTTTTATGACTTAAACGTGCACAAGATAAAAATTCTACAAAATCCTATGAAATGGTAAATAATTAGAAAAATCTACTTTCTTGGATTTTGTAGGAGTATCTTGTATAGGGCAAAAATCACGTGCTTACAGCTGCCCCTCTTTGCTCGAAAACATGAAGAGTTTTCGGGCAAAGATAAAGTGAGCAATATGAGGGATTTTTGCCCGTTTGAAACTCCATGAGAAGCATTTTTTGGAAGAGTCTGACCGAACCTTGCTTCAGAGGTTGCCTACATATCCTTGGCTATAAAGGAATCATGTCAGTGTAGTTCTGGAAGTTTTGGTAGCTGGGACTACCGAGAAGCTGTGATTTCACTGTTGTTGCTACTGTTGCTACTGCTTACCGAACCCCCTTATTACACCATGTCAAAAATAAAAAGAAACTAGACTAAGCTATGAGCTATGAATTACAAAAGATCCTATCTATATCTTCAAACTTGATCTTGTATTTCTCGTTGCCTTGTTGTATTGTATTCTCCTCGGCGACATCCTTTTGTTGCTGCCTTGAATTGTGATCTGAGATGTTTTGCCCTTTCTCCAGGTGGCTGCCTGACTGCTGACTACACTTTGAGATGTTTTCCTTTCTCCGGGTGATGCTTGACCGCTGAACTCGAATGTATTCCCTGCTTTCCAGGCGGGTTCCTGATTGCTGTATTGAACGGTATTCCTCTGTTCTTCAGGCGGGCTCCTGATTGCTGAAACTTGAAATGTATGCCTCTATTCTCCAGGCGGGCTCCTGATTGCTGAAGCTTGAAATGTGTTCCCTTGTTCTCCAGGTGGGCTCCTTATTGCTGAACTTGAAAAGCATTCCCTTGTTCTCCAGGTGGGCTCCTGACTGCAACAAAACAAACAAAGAAAATTTTCTGCCCCACTTTGGTGACCGGGTGCAGCATGTTATCAGATATTAAAAGCTAAAATTGGAATTGTACTTCCCTTGTTCTCCAGGTGGGCTCCTGACTGCTGAACTTGAAAAGTATNTCCAGGAGGGTCCTGACAACTTCTAGTTAAAAAAACAGTTTTAACCTAAGCAGACCTTGTTATCTATATCTTGTTATCTAAGCAGACCTTAAAGTTACGTCCCATTATCCAGGAGGGTCCTGAAAATCAAAATTCATGTCCTATCTTAGGAGTGCCAATTCTACGGCTGAATTATACTATCCTACAACAGTATCTTGCTATCTAAGGGAGATCTTAAAACTGTGTCCCATTATTCAGGAGGGTCCTGACAACTCCTAATTGAGTCCTATCTTAAACAGGCAACTTTGAAACCAACTTATGTTCCTTGGGGTATATTTATGCTAAATTATGCTACTCATGATTGCTTTGAAATTTAAACTAAGTCCCATTTTCCAGGAGGGTCCTGAAAACTTACCGTCAAACATGTCTGGTGCCTGCCTTTCCTTGAGGAGGGTTTCTCCGAAATGAACGAAATTTCTGCCCCTGTTTCAATCAAAGAAAAATCTTGTCAATTTTAAAAATGGTGGCTAGTTGCTGGCATTCTTGCTAAGTACATTCCTGCTGCTGGGCTTCACTCCGTCCCGCTTTCCTGGCCTTGCCTTGAATCCCCTTGAATTCCTGACCGAATTTCAACCCCTTGACTCTGATGACCCAAGTGTTCTATCCCATATTGTTGTTTTTGTGTTTCCAACCCCTCTTTTGGTATTTCACTTCTTCCCCACAATTATCCAACTAATCCAACAATGAAACTTCCAGTGGTCCTTTATGATTTCCTTTGCTTTTGGCCATCTTTGATATACTCTGGCCCTATCTGTGCCACTAAGAAGCTGGTAGTTAACTTTGATATTCCCTACTTTGTTTCGAACAGAACTGACACTGAAACATCCTAGAGATAGACCTCAAAAGAATGAAATGCAATGACCTCAAGGGTTTAAGATAAAGAGAATCCGAGAACGGATGATTTGTGATGAAGAAAGGAGAGAATGAAACTTATCTGAGTGGAACAGCTGGTACCATTGAGCATGCCATGCATTTTGGATTAATCAACCCAGTCTGTCTACCAATCAACTTCGATCGCCACATTTGCTGTTCCGGACTTTCACAACCTGTTTTTTATCCAAACCCAAACCTTGCTCGTCTTGCAATATCCTGAGCATCTTTTGACCACGGACATGTCTCTTTTGCCTGAAAACTCACCTTCGCCTTACGGTGCCCGTGAGGGTTTTCACCAATAAGACTCTCTCATTTTGATTTCTCTCAACTCACTTCGCCTTACAGTGCCCGTGAGGGTTTTCACCGATAAGACTCTCTCATTTTGATTTCTCTCAACTCACTTCGCCTTACGGTGCCCGTAGGGTTTTCACCGATAAGACTCTCTCATTTTTTATTTTTCCCTTGCACCGGAGTGTTGCCCCTGATGTGAATCACTTCGACTTGCTCGTATTGGTACTTCCTGAAGATTGATCGAAATGTCTTTCTTTGGACCGTAATGCAGGCTTTTGGATAGGGTTAGGAAGAAAGGGTATAAAAGGCTCTAAAACAATTCAATATGGGTTCGCAACTACAACTTTCGGAATCAACTTCCTTGCACAACCATAACTGCTGCCCCAGTTCCTTTCGTGGGGACTTTTGGAATTTTGTTTTGATGTGACTGAACCCCAAGGAGAGGCTGCCTACGTACCCTTTCGGGATCAAGTCGAGTTCAGGTCAGAGGAATTACTTTGCTGTTACAATCTTTCCTTTTCTTCCACCTTCTTTTCTTTCTTTTCATTTTTCTTTCCTTTATTTTTCTTTTCATTCTTCTTTTCATTTCTTTTTTGCTTTTCTTCATTTTCTTTTCTTCTTTTTTCTTTTCTTCTTTTCTTTTTTTTTTTCTTTTCTCTTCTCTTTTTTTTCTTTTTTCTTTCCGTTGGACTGTGGTTTCTTATTTCTTCACTGTTTTGCCTTGCTCGAGCTTCCGAGTTGTTATTGATTCCGAAAGAGGGGTACGAAAGAAAGTAAATGAGGCTCAAGAGGGGTAACAAAGGATAAAGTGT